TCTATACGCGAAGCGTTTGTTAGACGACAGCACTTAGTGTCTGTGTTTTTTAATATTGAGAAGGCCTATGATTGCTGCTGGTGATATGGGATACTTGTGATCTGCACCAATTCGGATTGCAGGGTAATTTGTGAATTTTTATAAAAAACTTTTTACAGATTCGAAGTTTCCAAATCAGGATGGGCAGAACTTTATCTAGGCTTTTCACATAAGATTTCCTCAAGGCTCTATTCTGAGTGTGACTCTGTTCCTAATTAAAATCAATAGCATAGCTAACTCTCTCCCTCTTAGTATGAAACACTCTGTATGCAGTGATGACATTCGAAATATTTAACAAAGGGTTCGCTAACAGAAAACTTTTCCTTAACAATTTTTTTTTTCGCTCAAATAGTGCATCGGAAGGCTCTAGTTTAGTAGTGTTACAGAGTATAATACGTATATTTTAATATTTTTAAAAGAATCAAACCATTGAGAAATGTTACATATGTTTAACAATGTTCGGAAAACTTTGAAAATGTTAACAACGGGTTCGGCGGAACCTGTGCGAACCCGCTGAATATCACCACTGTCTGTATGTGGATGACCTTCAGACTTCCTGCCAGTCAAACAACATGAGTTTTATGGATAGACAACTGCAAAGCTCCCTATATCGCATAGAAAATTGGTCCAAGACGAATGGTTTTAGTTTTAACACAGAGAAGACCTCTTGCATCCATTTTTGCCGAAGGTGTGGTTTGCACCTGGATCCCAAAATTTACCTAAATGGGGTCAAAATCCCAATGGTGAATGAGGCATGATTTTTGGGTGTTTTGTTCAACCATAAACTGACGTTTTTGCCGTATTTGCGCAATTTGAAGTGTAGATGTTTAAAAGCTTTAAACCTTCTAAAGGTACTTTGCTGCTCATCCTTGAGAGCAGACAAATGTTCTATGCTCAGGATTTATAGGGCCCTTGTCCACGGATGCATTGTTTATGGCTGTGTGTGAGAACCTACTCTTTGGATGCTGGATCCAATCCATTATCAAGCATTGCATTTGTGCACTGGTGCTTTTCCTGTTCAAAGTGTGTATGTGGATGCTTATGAGCCTCCACTATCTCTTAGGAGAGAACAGTTGTCTTTTTTTTATCATATCAAACAGAAATCTCATACTAAACCTTCAGTTGATTGTACATTATCAGATACTCAGCTGAAAAAGCTATTTGAAGCTTGCCCAAGTACAGTGGTATATCGACATACGAGTTTAATTTGTTCCGTAACTTTGCTTGTATGTCAAATTGCTCGTATTTGAAAGCAATTTTCCTCATTGAAATTAATTGAAATGCCATTAATCTGTTCCAGCTCCCAAAACACCACCTCAGTTGTTTTTGTTAAGTGTTTTTGAATAAGAAAAATGTATTTACAAGAAGAAACATTTATTTATAAATAACAAATACATATTATATAAAAACATAATAAAAGAAAAGTGAAGTGCTTAACGGAAGCGCTTAATTTTCATCACTGGTCTTTGCTTTTTTCTGTCACGCTTTGCTCATTTTCATTTGCAGATCATTTAAAAAAACTGTCCAAGGAGGTTTGTTTCTTCCTCCCTTTCAGGATATTGCGGAAATGAGTTGGGCAAGTTTCATTGAACAACTCCAATGCACGACCAGTTGCAACTTTTTCGGGGTGATTTTTATTCACGAACTCTACAACTTTCTTTTATATTCCCAAGATCTCCTTTATATCTCTTGTAGAGATAACCTCCATCTCTGGCTCCTCTTCAAAACTAATTTTTTGTTGAACCACCGTATGCTGCTGTGAATGTAGATCGTGTAACTCCTCGGTTGTCAGTGCCTGAGACTGTTCCTCGACGAGTTCGTTCACATCTCTCTCATCCACCTCCAGACCCATGAATTTTCCCAGAGAAACAATCTCCTCTACCACTGACACTTAGGGCCTTCGAAGGATTGGAACCCATTCAGCTACAGCCTCAGGCCACAGCTTCTTCCATGCAGAGGTTAAGGTCCTTGTTGTAACACCCAGCCAGGCCTGATCAATAATTCTTAGGCATATCACAATGTTAAAGTGGTCCTTCCAGAACTCTCGAAGGGTAAGGTTTGTGTTTTCCGTCACCTCAAAGCAGTGCCGTAAAATGTGCTTGGTGTACAACTTCTTAAAATTAGAAATCACCTGCTGATCCATGGGCTGCAGGATAGGAGTGGTGTTGGGTGGTAGGTAGAGAACCTTTATAAACTTGAACTCTTCGAGTAAATCATCTTCGAGATTTGATGGGTGAGCAGGGGCATTGTCGATGACAAGAAGGGCTTGCATGGGTAGGTTGTTTTCCTGTAGATATTTTTTAACAGAAGGGCCAAACACCAGGTTTATCCACTCCATAAAGAATTTCCTGGCGACCCATGCCTTCGGATTTGCCCTCCACAGAAGATTTTAAAAGAAAAACTGCAAGTTATGTGACTTAAAGGCTCTGGGATTTTCTGAATGGTATACTAGCAGAGGCTTGATTTTGCAGTTGCCACTAGCATTAGCGCAAAGTGCTAGAGTTAATCTATCTTTCATGGGTTTGTGACCTGGCATCGTCTTCTCCTCTGCTGTTATGTAAGTCCTATTCGGCATCCTTTTCCAGAAAAGCCCTGTCTCGTCACAGTTGAAGACTTGCTGGGGAAGACTATCCTTTGGTTTCTATCAGTTCGGAAAACGTTTTGATGTAAACCTCAGCTGCCTTCACATCCGAACTTGCTGCCTCACCATGCCTGATGACTGAGTGAATGCCGGTCCTTTTCCTAAAGTTGTCAAACCAGCCCCAACTGGCTTTAAAGGAGTCTTCCGATTCCTCGTTTGTGGAAGTGTGTGGAATCTGCTTCAGCAAATCACCGTAAATTGCTTGTGCCTTCTCACATATGATGCTTTGTGTTAAGGTTCCTCCTTGAAGCTGCTTCTCTGTCACCCACACCATCAGTAGTTTCTCCATCTTTTTATGGAGAGAGGTCCGGAGCTTAGAAATTATTGTAACGCCCTTAGCTGGCGTTGTACCCTTTATCAACTCCTTCTGTTTAAGCACAGTACGTATCATTGATGTGCTTCGCCCGTACATCCTCGCGAAGTCAATTACTCGCACACCTTGCTCATGTTTTTCTATGATTTTACGCTTTAATTCAATAGACATCATCTTCTTCTTTGGACCCATGGTTATAAAAATAAATGTGATAATGTTTCGTAAATGTACAAAAAGCAAAAAATGCGAATCCAATGTATCAAAAATGCTTCGAAAACGAGGGAAACAAGCACACAGACTGAGGTCTAGTCTGAGGTGGGAGAAACCGTTACACGCTGCACACAACACCAACATGCGGTTTGCATGTTGGGGTCGTGTGCAGTGGTGTAGTGTGCGATTTTTCGTACCTCAAATCTTGCTCTCATCTCAAAGCAAAATATCGCTCACTCGGCGGCTTGTATCTTAAAACACTTGTATATTAGGGCACTCATATGTCAAGGTACCACTGTAGTGTCCCTAAATTTGTCATAAGAATGGAGAATATAAGCAGTAAGATTGACCTGCATACAGGCAACATTTTACAGTCCAAGAGTGATAGTATATCACCTTGGTCAACTCCTGTGATAAATGTTGACCTTAGCTTAAAGCAATTTCCTAAGGAATCAATCGCAGACTGTCTACAAACACCACTTTGCAGAAATCCAACACCATGTCAGGAATTTAATTCCTATTTACACTGACTGTTCTAAATTGGATGATTATGTTGACTCAGCCTTTGTTTGCCGGGATGAAATCATGGCAGAACAAATAGCATCTAATTATTCCATTTTTACTGCAGAGCTGCAGGCTATTTATCTAGCATTAAATTATGTAATAAGAAAAGGTCATCGTTGTTGCATGATTTACACTGACTCAGTTTGTGCATTTCAGGCTTTCATCTCGTGTGAACCTAGTTCTCACTTTATAGTGATTAAAATGTGTAAACTATTTTGCCATCTTACTGCGAGTAATTTTTCTGTAAAATTTTGTTGGGTCCCAGGCCATGTAGGTATAAGAGGTAATGAAGAAGCTGACAAAACTGCTAAGTCAGCTTGTCGTTCACAGCATACAATGCATATTAAAGGAGGTGATTTGAAGCTAGTTGTTAAAAACGACTAGCAGAGAGATGGCAAAACGTGTGGAATGCACAAGTCCACAATAAACTACATGAGATTAAGCCAAATATAGAAAATTGGACACATAATAAACAGTATGACAGGAGATCTGAAGTAATTCTTACTCGTTTGAGAATTGCTCATACTCGGTTGACTCATCAATACCTTTTGAAAGGTGAAGACCAGCCAGTATGCGAGCATTGCAACTGCTTTCTAAGTGTAAAACACATGCTTTGCAAGTGCACAGCTTTTGATCAACTTGCTTTGTCGTAGACAGCATTTTGGAAATGCAAATTTGAGAGAGATTTTGGGCCAGAGGCCAAATCTTGATAAAATACTCAACTTTTTGAAATTGTAAATATTTATAAAGAGAATAATTAATTAATTAATTTATTTATTATATACTTAGTAGTAATTGAAACACAAATTATTATTGTATTTATTGTCAGGCAGTTGGCAATTTTTATCATCAAATTTTATTTAGTTGATACGTGTTGATGTTATTTACACACGTTTCAGGCAATTATTGCCTCTCCTCAGCCAACTAAAAACAAAAGTTCATAAGTTACAACACTATAAAATTACAAACAACAAACATATTAGGTATTGTTTCTTAAAAACATACCATTTTAATTTACAGGTTATTGAGATATTAAAACCACAAATTTCCATTGACTATGTTTACTTGTTATTATGGAATTACCAAAACTTTTTTGGCCCTTAACACTTAACCCTTAACATTAGAAATCCTAGGAAATACCACAAACACATTTTGGAGCTAGCCGACTTGGTTTGTAATACTTCGTTTTTCGTTTTTGAAGGGAAGACCTATCTTCAAGGAAGGGGCGTCCCCATGGGCAGCCCAATGTCGGCAGTCATTTGTGAATTAGTATTACGACAACTCAAAAGAAGTATCATACCCATATTTGGTTACGATATAATAATATACGCCAGGTACATCGATGACATCTTCATCTTGTGGAAAAATGCTGACATCACACAGAATTTTATGGAAAGGATCAACCCATATGGGTCCAAATCCAAAGTCAACCCATATGGGTTGACTTTAGATTTGGACCAGGAAAGCGAGAAGAATGTTAACTTCCTGGATATATCGATTACTTGTAAGGAAGGAGAAATATGGACAGGCGTATATAGAAAACCAGTTTATCAACCTATTATCATACCAAAGAATTCCTTTGATACTAAGCAAATTAAATATGCGGCGTTTAGAGCATGGATTAAAAGAGCGTATACCCACTGCACGAGTTTAGTTGATACATACGAGGAATTGGATTACATACAAAAAGTTGCGGCCCAGCAAGGATACCACAAAAAAGAAATTGAGGCACTTATTAAAAGAATGCAGATAGAAAACCAGCAGCCTCCTGTAATAGAGCAAAGAAAAAATGTGGTTATTAATTATTTTCCATTTCTAAACAAGATAATTAGGAAAGTTGCCAATAAAAATAAGTTACGAATTATTTATCGACGCAATCTAACTGTTTATAGAATGTTAAGGAATGACAAGATGAAGGATAATCGCAATAGTTTAACAGGTATATATTCTATACCTATAAAGGATCGACGCTTTAATACCAACCTCGTATACGTTGGGGCAACTATGCGGAGTTTAAAGCAAAGGCTAAAAGAGCATAAATATTCCGTGGATAAGAACATCGACAGTACAGCTCTGGCAGCGTTTGCCAAAGAACAAGATGTAACCGTATACTGGGATAGTGCGGCGATAATTAGGGCCACAAGATCGTTACAAGCGGTGAAGCATCTAGAAAAAATAGAAATCCATAAAGCGCACTTAGCCACGAGGTGCATCAATTATAGGGATGCTGAAGGTTTGGCAACTGCTTGGAGGTCGTTTTACAATAACACAAGTTAATGATGAAGGCATTATTGTTATTTATTTATTTACGTATTTTATTTTATTTTTCCGTCGATCTGCGCAACCGCAGTTAATTTTTAATTTAATTTTGTTCTACGTAAATTTTCGAATACTTTGTTCGTTTTCGTTATAGCAGTAACTGAAGAAGGCCGATAAAATCGGTCGAAAACGTTATTAGAGAATTAAATATTGTTGCTGGAATGTTATAGAAGGCGCTGTTTACTTATATTAATTAGTTCCAGTATGAAGTTTTTGATTTTTTTGATTATTTGTTAATGGCTACGCCGGCCAAACTATATAGAAGAATGGTTCTTAAGCTTTGCAAGGCAAGAACAAAGTTCGAATTTCTTTCACAATGCCGCATGAATGGAGTTTTCCCAATGTCTATATATCGCATCAGACTTCCAACGGGTTGTGACTCGTTGTTGCCGAAACTAAGGTACTTTTGCCTCAACAAGGCTATCAGAACTACGAGGAGGCAATATTATAGGCTTTTACACAATCTAATAAGTTTTGAAAATGATCTTTATGGAAAAGACCAAACGCTTCTAACGGATATCAACAACAGGGTAATAGTTTTATCTTGCTCAGTTGAAAGGAATTTAAAACGCAACTATGTTAAGAAGCTTTTATGGTTATTTAAACGCCAGAACGTGAAGCCACGCAAAAAAAGAAAGGAGAACACATTTATTACAGCTTGGGATGATATTACACCACCACACTGCTTGTTAAAAGCTTTAAAATACGGCCCCCTCTACGCTCCTAATCCCACAGTCCACCCAGAAAACGTCATTCCTAATATTGAGATTATTATAAAGGATATGGATGCCACAAGTCAAGATTACGTCAGATGGCAAACAAGATTTCGCACTGAAAAAGAAAAAATGGATAACAGGAACACAAGCCGCTTCCACCACTGCATAAAAGAAGCAAGAAAATGGTTGCACAGAAACAACATAGTACTTATGAAAGCGGATAAATCTAAAGGTATAGTACTTATCAAGAGAGTTTCCTACAACAACAAGTTAAAAGAATACATCAGAAATACAGAATGTATTGATGCTCCTGTAAACTATTTAGAATCTTTGCAAAAAAGAGTCAGAAGGTTCACCCTCACTCCATTAGCAAATCTATTAAACATGGAGAATTCTGTCGTTCAAGCTCCAAGAACACCAAAAATCTTCGCTTTTGGAAAAACCCATAAGCCTGGCTGCCAACTACGACCAGTTATAGAAAAATGCAGTTCACCTACTTTCGCTATTGAGAAACAGCTGGTCAGGTTTATACAAAGTAAAATTCAGGAGTCCCCCTTTTCCATAAAAAGTTCGACACAACTGGTGCAGAAACTAAGGGAAATTACACTTAAGGACAAGGAGTGTATGACAGTAATGGATTACAAAGCATTATACCCTTCAATAAAATTAGAACCATGTTTTTGTGCTTTGAGGGACTTTCTATTTAACAACATTAGAAATCCTAGGAAATACCACAAACACATTTTGGAGCTAGCTGACTTGGTTTGCNGTTCGAAACTACATAAAACCCCCTAATAGACTCTCACATGTGGTGTAGCAGGAGTGTGGTCTCGAGCTTAAGAAAATTCCCTAATACACTCTCACATCTGGTGTCACGGGAGTGAGTTTGGAATTTTAGTAATATAGTAATCGTAATAATATCTCACAAATAATATAATTGTATAATATAATCAGAGATCTGATTCGGAGGTGATAAGTCTGGAGAGATAAATTTTTAAGATAATCTTTAAATTAATAATAAGTTAACATAGAAATAAGTTAAAAATGGATAGAGATAGAGAAGAACCTCCGCGAGCTACATTAGCTGGTAATCCAATAACGTTAGGTGGACTGGGTGGAATGATTCCCCTCTTACCGGTCTTCTCAGGGGACGCAAAGGGTCCAAAGGTATCAGAATTTTTCGATACGTTAGCGGATGTGACTAGAGTAGCAGCATGGTCGAAGGCACAGATGCTAGCTGTAGCTAAATTAAAATTGACTGGCATTGCCCGGGAATTCGTGCGTAAGGATCGGCGAGTAAAGGACGTAGATGATTATGAGGAATTTAAGAAAATAATGTTAGAACGTTTTGAGAAGGTCCCTTACCCATATCGAATCCAGAAATTCTACGCGTGCGTCCAAGCCAGAGATGAGGACGTACAGACATTCGCCGTACGACTCCAGGCCTTAGCCGAGGAGGTTGAGATTGAACACGAGGGCGCGAACGAAGCCGAAATAGAAGTCATAAAACGGGTCAAAGAAAAAGAATTGGACAAGAGGTTGAAAGTCCAATTTATGCATGGAATCGATATAAAAATCAGACAACGGGTTATGTCTAAAAATCCGGAGACCTTTGATGAGGCCTTACAAGTAGCTATACGTGAAGAGGAAATTGAGTTACTCACTAATAAGGGAGGAAACACCCATATCAGAATTATAACAGAACCATCTAGAAGAGAAAACCTAGATACAGACGATGATTTAGCGGGAATAGAACCTAATGCCGACAAACAATTAGAAAAAATGGCGGCGGCTATAAGCACACTGCGAAATCAATTTAATACATTAGTAAGACAATCCCAAGAAGAAAGGGATAGGAATAGAGAACGAAGCGCACAATACTTCCGGCCAACGGAGCGAACTTTCGGCGGAGATCGGCAACCAACTTCCGACTTCCTCAGAGCCAGAGCTCGTGCTCCGATATATAGAAATAATCACCGTTCAAATTTTGTTAATAGGAATAGGGACGAGCCTAATATAAATCCTCGATATGAGAATACGTGGAGAGGTGTAGTAAACTTTGTGGGTAATCAGAGAAACCCACCCAAATATGAAAAAAGGGGCAAAAATATAAAAGGAGGATCGGTCAGTCGCATAAAAAGAGATCCTTACATATTAATATATGTAAATAACATCCCCGCGAAAATGAGAGTCGACGAGAATCTGGAGACAACATTATTATCAAACGGCTTTGCTCAAAGATTGGGAAATAGAGCATCCGTCATATTAGGAGAAAAAGGGAAGTTGGATATTGGTCACGGAAAACCAGTATCGACATTTGGTGTTGCTATTCCGATATTTAAACTTCGGGGATATAAATTCACCAATACGTGCAAAATAGTGCATCCAGAGATCACCGCCCCTTGCATGGGAATAATCGGCAGAGATATCCTAGAGCAGGAGCAAATAGAAATAAATAATCATAATGGAGTGATTATACTGCCTAATGGAAAGGAAGTCCATTTTTGTTCCCCTTGCCCCTCGGAAAAAAATTATTTTAAAGGAAAATCGCCGCTAGAAAACACTAAAAGGGAAATAGATTTAAGATATTCCGAGACCAGCATACTGAGAAATGTTTGGGCGATTCCTCAACGCAAACGCCATAAGCAGAACAAACACTTAGAGACGATCAGAAAAACTAGAGCTAAGCGCAAAGCCAATAAAGAGAAAGTAAGCAATATGGGTACGGATATAAAGTTAGGGCGTTGGGAAAAATTAAACAAAGAGAAGTCCTTCGATGAGTCTATGCAAAGGATACAAGAAAAGCGGGATAATCAGACGATCGAAAAAGTCGATCTTACACATAATGTGGTGGAAAAAGACGAGAAGAAAATCGAGTCAAGTCGTTTTAAAGGCTCCACCATCACTGAATTTTATAAATTAATAAGCCCATTGATATATTTAATAACCCTATTGTTGGGACAAGTTAAAAAGGCCGATGATACAACGAGAGAAACTCAGGAGATTGAAGAAAGTGAACCGAAAGTAGAAACCTTTAAGAGCAAAGTGCCAGTGGCCGTCTTTGAGAGGCACAAGGATTACCCTATAATGCAACCTAATAAAATTAGAACTCCAAATAAGGGCGCAAATGTTCAAAGGAAGTAAAAATCCGTAAGGTGATAATAAAATATAGGAAATATATAAATAGAAGTCGCAATCCCTAGAGAATTAGAAAAATATTACTTCCCACATTAGTAGATCAAGTTCTTCCTAAAGAAATATCGAAAGTGTTGGTGACTCGTGAAGTTGATTTAGAAATAATGATAAATAGCTCTAAGTGAGGTAATTAATTAATTAAAGGATAGTTATTTCGTGAATTATATAAGAGAAGGGAAATTAAAAGTCTCTTGCTGGATGTATAAACGTTTGAAGATAAGGGAGTTATAGAGCTCAAGGGGTAAACGAATTCAAGAAAGGTGTCATTTTCATTCACAAAGAGAACTTTTTGATGACATCTAGTCATTGGACATTGATCCATGACTTCGATTTCGATCATTTCGATCAACAAGTAGAGTTTTTAACACAATCTCTTGAATCGTTAAAAGCCATAATCATAAACAGAGAGCGAGCATCAACTGAGAAAAGAAAAGATCAAGCAAGATGGATCTTACCTACAAATGGATACGAAATACTTATATCATCTTTCTCGGAATACAAAAGAGACTATTACAATTTAAAGGGATTAGTTACCCTTGATAAAAAAAAAGTAGAAAGAGAAGAGGATTAATCGACGTAGGAGGAAAAGCATTGAAGTTTTTATTCGGAACAGCTACATCCGAAGATATCGAAGCTTTAAATGGAGAAATTACAAATATAAAACGTATTGATAAAGGTATAATTCATTTAGTACAGTCACAAGCGACTCTTCTAAACGATACTTTGAGAATAAGTAAGAACAACAGACAGAAAATAAATAATTTGTCAAGAAGACAAGATTCCTTCGAGAACTTACTAAAAATATATCGATATGATTTAGCATTTGAAATTATCATGAGAAATATAGAATTTGCGATGCAAGAATTTCATACACAAATAATTGAATTAAGAGAAGCTATTGACGTTTTAGAGCAAGGAAAATTAAGCTCGTATTTTATCTCAAAGGAAGTGATGTATCGTACGTTACGAGAAATACAACCACAACTTCCGGAAGGTTATTCATTGATAGAGCAAGTCAAAGCTGACACTCTCTTTAAATTTTACCAG